AATAAATGAATTTATTAATCTATAGGATACAAAATCAACTTACAAAAACTTAGTACAATTTTTATATGCCACTAATGACCTTGCTGAAAATAAAATTAAGAAAAAAATAGGTTATTGAATACATGGGCACCTCTGCGCCTCCAGCAAAATGTTCTTTTCAAACAAAGTCAGATGCAAAAGCTCAATGAGCAAAGAAAGTCAAATTGGAAAAATGCTTGGAGCTTTCTCTTTTCCACATTTTCATGGCCAACTCCATGTCTCCCCCAGGATATCTAAAATAGAATTTATTATCACTTAATATAAGACATTACCCCCAAAGTTAAAAGAAAATTTATTTCTTCTTCTTAATCTTCCTCACCTTGATGACTAGCACCTTCTTTTCCATCCACGAAAGCCAAAAACACTCCTGAAGATTCATAATACACACAGACACATTAAAGGATCCGAATATACCTGAGACCAAAAGCCAGGTTAAATTTATTTAACTCAGAAATTCTAAAACTCATTTTATGACACATATTCCCCTCTTCCTCCTTACTTTTTAAAGATTGAAAAATACTTTTTGGCTATATTTCATTCAGAATGATTAGTTTATCTCAATTAGCAAATTAGCTCTTTGGATGCATATATCATTCAATATTCAAAAATGCTGGGGCAAGGTGAACCGTTCAGGCTGGCTGCCAATCATGTGTGGTAATGAAGCACACAACCCTTGGGTGATAGGCCCCAGGCAGCTACGGAATTGATGCCACATCCATGGGCAACCGCATCTGTCTTCCACCACCATTACCAGCAGAGGGGAAGGAAAGGTTGCCAAGTCCTAACAGAAATCATGCTTTGTCTTCAGTAAAATGTACCAAGTCTGCAGCGGATGATCACCATGTCATTTTATTTAGAGGAATTATAATGTTCACTTGGCTATAACCTTGGAGGATTGTGAGCAGCTCTGCAATCGACAAGGACTTTTTTCCATATATTATCTCCTCTTGTGGATTTATGAGCCAAAAGATATCAAAATACCTGCAACTTCTGGCTTTCCTATAAATTAGTATAGATCCTTGAATATTAGATCCCCAAATGATCTTAGCCTACAAAACAAGTATTTTTTTTTTAAACTGAAATAGTTCTGTGCCCTGTGTTGTTAGCACTAGACTTCCTAAGTGTATGGATACATGCTGCATCTTTTCTAATTCTGAAAACAAAGACTATCTAATTAAGCTTTCATGAAATGGAAAAGTTATTTGAACCTGTTCTGGAACTTAAATTGTGCTTTGATCAATAGTGGGGTTATTTGCTGTTTTTTCATGTCATCTATAGCTTTGATGTAGGAGACGGGGTCCTGTGGGTCTGGATACACTCGCTGACCAGTCTGGCAGCCTCCATAGCAGAACCCCAGTGCACTGAGATGCCCCCACTCCCGTGGCCATAGTGGTGGACCACAGGCAACCTCTGTCCCCCGTGGGCTAGGAGCTCTTTCTGCAGCCGCACGCCTGGCCTGACGGGCCTCAAGCCCACCTTCTCCTTTGTGATACAGGCTCTGTGGAGGGAGGGCTCCAGCACACAACACCGGGAGAAAATATCTCTGCTAATCTGTGCATCTGGGGACAAATTCCAGTCTCCTTTCTGCCTAGTTCCACCCAGGGTTACATGGAAGGCACCAGGGTAAATATATGTCAGCCCACTCCCATCTCGGATAAAATGCTTCACCCAGGGGGCCTGAACTTGGAGCACTTGGCCCCTTACAGGGGAAATCGTTGAGTCTCCTGCAAGCTGTCGGCTTCCCAGGCCTGTGCAGTTGACCACGATGTCAAAGGACGGCTGAAGCTCCCACAGGTTTTCCAGTCGTCTGGTGAGTAGCAGGCCTCCGCTTTCTTTTATCCTAGAGAGAAGAGACCATGGAGTGAGCCTCAGCAGCCCCCTGCTCAGTCACTTCCAGGAAGTGGACAGAGACACAGGAACAAAAGAGATGTGGTGATCTGATGGACAAACACAGCAACTTCAAATTTTAGCCATCCACAGCGAGATGCGTTACATCTTGGAAACCAGGGATTCCCAAGGTTGATTTTAAGTGAAAACCTATTTCAAAGAATGCACCACAGGGTTGGAGATGTAGTTTAGTTGGTAGAGTGTTTGCCTGGCATGCACAAGGCCCTGGGTTCAATCCCCAGCACCCCCCCGCCCCGCCACCCACACACACACAAAAGCACAACAAAGGAAATGATGTTCCTTGCCATCTTTATATTTTGTAGAGTTCCTGTGTCATTCCAGATGCAAAATAAATACCAAGCTGATCTGGTATTTTACATACCCATTTGTTGTTTATACCATTCATTTAACACCTAAATTTACTGTCTTCTTTTTATTATTAGTTGTTCAAAACATTACATAGTTCTTGACATATCATATTTCATACATTAGATTCAAGTTGGTTATGAACTCCCATTTTTACCCTATATACAGATTGCAGAATCACATCGGTTACACATCCACGTTTTTACATAGTGCCATACTAGTGTCTGTTGTATTCTGTTGCCTTTCCTATCCTCTACTATCCCTCCTCCCCTTCCCTCCCCTCCCATCTTCTCTCTCTACCCCATCTACTGTAATTCATTTCTCTCCCTTGTTTTTTTTACCCTTTCCCCTCACTTCCTCTTATATGTAATTTTGTATAATAATGAGGGTCTCCTTCCATTTCCATGCAATTTCCCTTCTCCCTTTCCCTCCCACCTCTGGTCCCTGTTTAATGTTAATGTTCTTATGCTCTTACTCCCTGCTCTGTTCTTACTTCCTGCTCTGTTCTTAGTTGCTCTCCTTATATCAAAGAAGACATTTGGCATTTGTTTTTTAGGGATTGGCTAGCTTCACTTAGCATAATCTGCTCTA